CTTGTATTATAGATTTCATCTCTAGCAGTTCCGTTTGAGTCTTTTGTAAAGTGTGTAATTCCTCTTTTAGATCTTACAAGAATTTCCTCATCTCTTTACCATAGGGTGCCTGAGCTCTCTGGAGAGAGAGAGAGAGAGAGAAATCACTCTTTAGGGAATGGCCATGTGGCAATCCCTTCTCCTTCATTCTTCTCAGGATTTTGGCCACATACACATCCACCTGAGGTGATTCCAGGTCTGGGACTGCGACTGCTATCTACCTTCTGGGATTCCAGCCCCTCAGGCACCTACTGGCTCCATGGTTTCTAATTTTTTTGTTTTTACTTATATAGAATGAAGTAAGCTGCCCATAAGAAGTATCAACTAAAGCCAGCCTCCTAGTGCAGCAGTCAAGCCCTGTGCATTGGGAAGCAGATTCCACATGGTCAACCGGTCAGAATTCCAGTCCCAGCAGCTTGAGAGACAGCCCCCTCCCCCACCCCAAATCCAGAAGAAGTGGGAAAAAAATAAGGGATTCCAGCACGACCATACCCCATTGGGGGTGCTTTCTCTCCCTGCGTGTCTTTCTCTGGTGAGAGCAAGCGCCCTCTGACAATCAAAAAACAGACTCCTGGGCATCGATTGGGGGAGAATGTGGAGGTGTCCGAATCTCTCACAGAAACACTTGCCAGGCCTCCTCTCCCTTTCTGCGAACCCACCGTGAAGAGAGCCTGGTCAAAAGACCTTCAGAAACAACTGTGACATCTGTTCAGGGTATCACTCTGCCCTCGACCCCTTCCCACCTCCGCACTTTTCCAGCCTCATCTCCGACTTGTATAAATCAGACTGGAAACCAACAGCGGTCTCACAGCTTCTACTGGGACCGGGACTCGGACGGCAGCGAACGTCGACAAAGCTAACACGGGGGGGCCACTTACGGCCCAATCATTTACGGTCCCCCGATAAACTAGTGGAGTTGGCGGGCAGGGTAAAAGCAAACATGACGCCTCGCTCCGAAGCCAGCCGAGTCCGAGCCAAAAAAAACGTGAAGACTCGGCTCCCCTCCTGCTAATCTGGCTCTTCCGCTCCGCCCACCCCGCGGGGAGGCCCAGGGGCACGTGGCCGGGGGCGGGGCGGGGCGGG